ACTGGGTTTCAACCGCCTTCTCGCTGGCACTCAGCTCCGAGTAGCCCTAGGACTATCAAGTGCCACACCCCCCACGCCACGCCTGGCTACATATTTTTTCTATTTTTTAGTGAAGACTGGGGTTTCACCCAATGTTAGCCCAGGAATGGTTTCGAATCCTCTTGACCTCAGTGATCTGCCACCGATCTCAGCTCCAAGGGCTGGGATTAGCAGGAGTGAGCCACCACACCCGCCGTTCTTCTTTGTTTTTTTTTATAAGACAGCAAGTGTATTGCAGTAGCAACAGCCGTGCCAACAGAATGCCTGCCCATAAGACCACGAGCAGGGGCCTTGTCCGCATAGGCAGAGTGGCCCAGAGTACCCCATGTCTTTTTGGATAAATCGTCAATTGAGGCGTCCTCATTGCCCCTGCTTTTTTTTTTTTTTTTTTGAGACGGTGCTCACTATTGTTGCCCAGGTTGGGTCTTTGAACTCCTGATCTCCTGCTATTTTATTATTTAGTTGCTAATGCGCCTGTTTATTTCTGAAACAAGGCTTTAGAAATGTGGCGGACAACAAGTTTGTAGGTTGAGAATTCTCGTGGTAGTTGGTGACTTCACGCTATATCTTCAGTAAAAGCAGTTATGGACGTGGCTTCCTGAACATATTAACCTACCATTGTTTTGTCCGAGCGAACCAGTTGAAAATGGATTCTCTAAATGGGCCTGTTTCCCTTAAGGTGGATTCATCAACATTTTCGCTGCTCTAAGTCCTTTTTAGACGGTTGGAGCCTTCCACTTAAGCTGGCATCTCCTCCCTTGCCACTCCAGGGCTTTCAACAATTGTAGAGCACAAACTCAAAGCTGGTTCCCAGGCCTGTCAGCGCTTGTAAGAATTTCAGGCTGTCCTTTTCCACACGATTCTCAGAGTAGGTGTAGTGACCTCCATTCATCATTTTGTCCTTAGCAAGCGGGAGTGTTGTAACTTTACTTCCAAAACTTATTTCATGAGCCATCAGAGCAGTAGGACCTGTACAGATGGCGGCTATAAGGTACTTCTGGTTTTCCTGTTCCTTTAGTATCTCCTTCACAGCAGCAGACTCAAATAAATTCTGTGCACCCAGATTACCTCCTAGTAGAACCACTATGTCATATGGTCCCCCTTTTTTTGCATGTTCAAGACTGGTATCAGGGCAAATGACAACATCATGGCTACACTGTACTGGGTCTTTTCCAGCCAGACCCGCAGTGGTGACCTTAATCCCAGCTCGCCTCATGACATCTACAGGATGACCGTCCCCATTTCCTCTGCTTCTTCAGCCAAAAACTCAAAATAATAATGATTTAAAAATCAGGAGCCGGGCGCGGTGGCTCACGCCTGTAATCCCAGCACTTTGGGAGGCCGAGGAGGGCGAATCATGAGGTCAGGAGATCAAGACCAGCCTGGCTAACACGGTGAAACCCCGTCTCTATTAAAAGTACAAAAAAAATTAGCCGGGCGTGGTGGCAAGTGTCTGTAGTCCCAGCTACTCGGGAGGCTGAGGCAGGAGAGTGGTGTGAACCCAGGAGGCGGAGCTTGCAGTGAGCCGAGATCATGCCACTGCACTCCAGCCTGGGTGACAGAGCGAGACTCCATGTAGGTTGAGAAATCTCTGTGTAGTTGTGACTTCACGACTATACTTCAGTAAAAGCAGTTATGACGGTGGCTTCTGAACATATTAACCTACCATTGTTTTGTCCAGAGCGAACAGTGAAAATGGATTCCTAATGGCCTGTTTCTCTAAGTGATCATCACATTTCGCTGCTCTAGTCTTTAAGAACGAGTGGAGCCTTCACTTAAGCTGCCATCTCCTTGCCACTCAGGGCTTCAACAATTGTA